TGATGCAGAATCAACTGGAAGTTGAAGCCTTCATGCAATATTTTATAGATTCTGAAGAAACAAAACTATCTGAAACAAACAATGTATTAATATTTCATGTCCAGTACTTACTATCAATGATATGATTTATGTAGTAAGGTACCAACCATTATTGAATCTACTGAAAGTTCAAGTCTGCATTATGTACAATCTTTCATAATTTCCGAAGAAGCCAAAATATCTTGGAATAAAATATCTCTGCTCTGATGATATCATCATGTTGTGTTATCAATAACCTCCTGAAACAAATAATGTACCTATTAATATTTCATGTTCCAGTGCCTACTATATCAATGATTTGATTTAGGTACCTACCTTTATTGAATATATATACTGAAAGTGCAAACATGCATACAATCTCACATAGATTTCCACAAGCCAAAATATCTTGGAATGAAACATCTTTGCCCTGATGACATCATCAATCTTGTGTTCTCAATAACTTCATCTGAAACAAATAATTAACCTATTAACATTTCATGTCCAGTACCTATACTATATCAATGATTTGATTCAGGTACCTACTTTTATTGAATGCATACTGAATGTTCAAGCTTCCATACAATATTTTATAGATTCTCAAGAAGCAAAGATATCTTGGAATAAAACATGTTTGCTATGATGATATCATCAAGTTTGTGTTCTCAATAACCTCCTGAAACAATAAATTATGTAGACAGTATCATGATTCTATTTAGTATTTACTCACCTTTGTTTCTTGCTACCTGAGAGAAATGTCATCAACAGAGGTTATCATCCTTTTGTTATTGTTATCTTTTAATTCTGTGCAATAAGTGCTTCTCGCAATCATTTTGTGAAATAGAAATTTGATGAATGCATGATGGAGGTATTCAATGAATACTCTAATAATTTTGATATAATCATTAATATTATGATGTATCTTGAACAAATCATGACTATCATGAGACATAACCTCAATTCTAGTTCTTCTTTTTCTTCCTTGTGTCTTCGATGACACGTTATTTCATGGAATGTCATCTGAAGACGTCCGTAGGCACGAAATTTTTCACATCCTCAGGCTGTCACTGAAAGAACTCATTTAGGACACTTACAGCGCTAAATTTACGCCTGATGATGTTCTTAGGTTGTAGAAAATAGAACGTCCTCTCCAGGCGTTTGGCGACACATTGAGGATGACCTTAGGCGAGTGTGTGCTATCTATTACCACTTCGCCACGGACTTTTTTGATGGATAAAATGAATATCAAGATAACAACGATGAATTAGTGGGATAGATGATAATAGGTTGTGTCAGGGTGAACATTATGAATATTGATACAAGAATAGGAACATCAATATCATATATTTCGATACGATTCTAAATATTCTCAGAAAATTCGATAAGACTATCTTCAGAATATTCTAAGAATATGTCGAATTCAATGTTCATAGAATATTCGTTGCAGAATGAGAATTTTCTATGATCATTCTGAGAATTTTCTATGATCATTCTGAGAACATTCTATTAGAATATTATAAAATAAGTATATTTGAAATTTGTCATAATATTCATATCCTGTGCTATCTGGGTATGTGATATACAGGGTGTCCCTAGACCAGTGGGACAGTTGAATATCTCCTGAACCAATAGGGATTTTCGAAATATTATAATCTCACATCATATCGCATTATGAGTGCTAACTTCAGGAATGACTATATTTTATACGAGGGGCGCAAGAAAGGCTCACAAAATCGAACATCAATTTCTTCAAATGTATTTCATTGCATTTTCATATTCTCCTTGATGAGCTGAATTCAGCGACCTAGCACACTTGGGGTCTAGCGGGAATGATTTCCGAGATATAGGGTGTGGAAAATCGATATTTTTCATTTTTGGGAATTTTTTGTGTCAAAACTATTCATTATTGGCCAAAACGGCTCACATGTCCATATCTCAACTTTCGATTTACTATTTACTCGTATTTAATTGAAACAAATACAGGGTGGTGTAGAATTCTGACTGAAACTGACACAAAAAATTCCCAAAAATGAAATATCTCGATTTTCCACACCCTATATCTCGAAAATCTTTCCCGCTAGACCCCAAGTGTGCTAGGTCGTTGAATTCAGTTCTTCAAGGAAAATATGAAAATGCAATGAAATACAGGGTGTTCCATTTGGAAAAATTGATGTTCGATTTTGTGAGCCTTTCTTGCGCCCCTCGTAGAGAATATAGTCATTCCTGAAGTTAGCACTCCTAATGCGATATGATGTGAAATTATAATATTTTATATTATAATATTCAACTGTCCCACTGGTCTAGGGACACCCTGTATATCCGGGAAAGAAGTACTCGCTTTTTTCCCGTCGGAAAAAAGTAATTTATGAAAAGTGACATTTTATAATCTGTCAACAGCGATGAAATTTCAAACTTTTTAATTATCTATATTTTCAATGATTTTCAACAATAAGAAACCTATTATTACAATAAAAACAAGAACGCTACATATTCAGTTTGTTATGTCAATTACAAATTTCCAAACATTACCTGAAAAATAAGAAACCAAACGAACTTTGACTACTTATAAAAGTTGTTGGAAAATTAAAAAGTCGTAAAACTTCATCGCTCTGTATATCGGTAACGAAGTGTTTCCGGACACATACTTATAGAAAAGGAAGTCTTATTTTGACCTGGAAAATCAGTCTCTGAAATCTTGATACTGAACACCCTGTTTAGAGATAGTAATGAATATGAACATTTTCCTTACCGACCATCAAACTGATATAGTCAATCGAATCGCCAGGTATCCAGTGTTTGCTGGGAGAGATTTTTGCAATTGCTGAACTTGCCACAAGGGATATTATAAACCTTTTTAGTTCATAAACTATTGGTGTCAAAATGATGACAGAACAATTTTACTTTTTTGCGAACAAACTCAGTCACGTATAATTGGCCATTCCCTTTCACAATGTATGTGTGAACAATCAACATAATTATCTTTCATTTGTTTAGAGATAAGACACAGTCATGCACTTTTCAGAGAATTGGCGATGATCGCATCGTTATAATTACGATAGATTAGAGATGTTAATCTTGGGTTGAAGTCCATATTGCTCGCAATGGAGTGAAGATGTTTCAAATATTCAACAATGTTGTAAAAAACTCAGGAACAGTTTTGATCTTAGAAAATACCATCTTCAGCCTAATAGAAGTTCTGGAGTTCTGCCTGCCGATGCCCATAGTCAGAAGATTCAAGTTCAAATAAATAAATGTTGCAAACGGGTTCGGCCCCATGCCCTGGTAGAGCGTACCATGTATCAAATTTTATCATTCTGTTGAAGTATTCACATATCTGTCAGTCTAATCATGTGATTTGATTTTCAAAAATTGCGAATATAGTGGTTGTTTAGTAATTTACATAACCGAGAAGTCGAATGGAAGATAATAGTATATTATGTAACAAGTGTTATAAACGTCCTTTTAGTAACGAGTATTTTAAGCACAAGCGGAGCAGAGCGGAGCAAGTGTTTAATAAACGAGTGTCTAGAAGAGTTTATAAACGGGTTACATACTATTCTTTTTCTACGAACTCGCAAAATTACATTGACATACCTGCTATTCCTGCTAACCTACAAAATAATTCGAAAAGAATGGAAATGGAGAACATAATACATGCAACTGCATGCAACCAGCGAGACAATTATAAGTGATATTGGTTGTAGATGTGTCCAGTCCATTGCTTACTAACCTTTGTTTCACGATTATTGTCATTGTTAGCGCAGAATAATAAATTATTCTCAAAGATTGATGCTTCATTTTTACACCTCTTGGACATATGCAAGTACCAGGACATTCTCTTCGATTTCACTTTCGTCTTTATTTCGCATATATTTTCAATGAAGGATTCTGATACAAACGAATATCGTTTGAATAATTCTGATACAAAAATTGAAAATAACAGTTGACAGTTAATAGAATTGACAGGCCAGATATGTCTCAAATTACTGAAGCTATGTTTTATGAACTGTGTTGCCATGGTAAGTAATGTGTTTATGAAATCGTGTTGCCATGGTAACGTGTTTAATATTTAGAATAAATCACAGATCGTCAATTCGTGATTAATCGATCATTTAGCGTGGTACATATCCGTACGCTATAATGCCATTTTAGTTATGTGAGTAGAAAAAAAGCCTTGCAGTTCTTTCTCGGATACGGTGTTATTCGCTTATTTTTCGGAACTATAGCACAACAAAAGCCATCAACACTGTATCTACAGTGTGACCCATTTAAGATGGAAGCACCCTTATAAAACTTACATTTTTCAACCGATTGGAATGATTTTTTTTTGTTCAAAAAGTCTATTAGGACACCAAATATCATGAATAAATCTCCATTTCCAGGGCCAACTAATCTGATTTTTCAAGGTCAAAAATCTAAAAAAATTACTAGCGATTTTTTTAGAAAAAATCTGACTACACCACTGGATTTGTGACATTTTCAAATGGGTAACATGTAAATTACGTTGAAATGCGTCAATCAATAAAAAAGTTATAAAGGAATGAAATTTGAAAAATATGCCGTTTAATCAACCCACCAATTCATGTTCAGGAATTTTATGAAAATTCTGTATACTCCACTGGATTCAGGATGTCTTGAAATATTACTGATCACAGTTTCATCGAAATCTGTTCAGTAATAAAAATTGAAATTCCATTTAACCACCCCTCTATCTCTCACCGTTATCGAAATCCCCATACATAGACTCTAATTTGAATAGAAAGAAATATATTCTTGAAAATAGTGATAAGTATGTCAAATAAAATTGTTATCATTTGTGTCAAGCAAATATATACCTTTGTTATCATGGATATTAACATTAGCTCCATTATCCACTAAGATTTTCAAACAATCGAAATGACCCTGACCTGCTGCAAAACGGAGAGGAGTTCTAGCTTTGTTATCCTGGATATTAACATCAGCTCGACTATCTACTAAGATTTTCAAACAATCCAAATGACCCTCAAATGCTGCCCGATGAAGAGGTGCTTGACCAATCCTATCCTGGATATCAACACTACGTCCACTAGGTGTATGACCTTGATCTTTTTCGTTTTTTTTTCCAGAACATTTACTCTGGCTCCTACTTCCAACAAATGATTTACTCTGGCTCCTACCTCCAACAAATGTTTCAGTATGTTGACATTGCCCACGTTTGCTGCTAAGTGCAGAGCTGTCTCTTCATAATAATTTCTCTCGTGGATATTGACACCCCATCTCGTCAGTTCTTGGACCATTTCAAAATTTTGATTTTTCACAGCACAGTGTAGAGGAGTTCCTCCTTCAGCTTTCGTTTTTACATCAGCACCATTTTCGATAAAATAGGAGAACAGCTCTGTGGAGTTCTCTTTCACACTTAAGTGGAATGGGGTGTAACCTTTTTTGTCTGCAACATTGATTGTGGCTCCTCTACTGACAAGATATTTTACTAATTCTATTTTGCGCCTCTCGGCTGCATAATGTAGGATTGTACGGCCATGTGCATCCCTTGCGTTCACATCTGCTCCCTTGTATGTACAATAAAAACTTCATTATTTCTGGAAATTCAAGGGCTACTCCTAATGAAGTTTTACCAGAAAATCTATCAGGGATATTAAGAACAGAGCCATTATTTTGACTCTTCTCTAGTATTAGTTTCACGATATTTTTGTGGCCTTCTCCTACTAAAATGTTTATGTTTTTTAATTCATGCCAAGCTATATAGTCAAATGTAGAACCGCAAATTTCAAAAACCCTCATTGGGATTTGGGAGTATTCGTTGGTGAGGATGCCCTCAAAAAAACTCTGACTATCTTAAATTCCCCATATATGAACACTTTTATCAAAAGGAACATCAGATATCCATTGCGTTCTGCAATTTCTTTCAATTGTACCCACATTGCCTTAGCCAAAAAATATTCAGCGAATGTTTTATGCACGAACAATAACTCGTCTCCAATATCTTGTAACATTCCCATTTTGATGATAGTTTCGTTGGAGATATTATTAACGGTTCTGGAAACATTCATCAATGAATATTGGTGATCATTGAGTAATAATCGAGCAGCAAGTTTTTGATGCTCATTTTTAGCGTCTTCATATTGTTCAGAAAATACCTCCTCTTGGGTAACTTTTCCTTGAGTATGGCATTTATCTCCGATGAAGATATCCCTTTTCTTCTCCACAAACATATCGTATAATTCAGTTATGTTTATCTTATCTGGTAATTCCAAGGTCTCATTATCAGATAGTAAAAACTCTTTACAACACACCCACTGCGGTATTTCTTGTCATCAGAGCCCTGAAATATTTCCGCAATCATTCTGGTCTGAAGTGGAATGCCTATGAAATTCCAAGAGGTGTATCCTATCGAATATCCTAGTTTGCTTATCAATGTTTTTGCATAAATCTCACATTTAGTTAGCTTTTCATCATCATCTATTATGAGGTTCTGCTTCCAGTATTTCATGAGAAAATCAGTTTGTTCTAATTTTGAGTATGGAAGTAATTGATATGATTCAGTTCTCAGGAAGGATTCCAAATCCTTCTTTAAATGAGGACGAGTTGTAACAAATATTTTAGAAATATTTTTACGTTCAGACGTTTGAAGCATAAAATTTTTAACTAGTTTAGTGTAGTCCGGACTTATTTCATCCACAGCATCGACCATCAGGATGATGTTTTTTGTATTTGAGAAAATATTTTGTTCCAAACTATTTTTAAAATAATTCTCATCTTTCGACTGTAGTATCTCTTCTAAATTAATTGATTTCTTACTCGCTGTTTGAAATTCTTTAAATATGCTGGTAAACATATTCAGATCAATTCTTATGAGGAAAGAACTGGGATATATTTTTTTTATTAAATACCCAAGTTTAGTTAGGACAGTAGTTTTGCCCTTTCCTGCTCCATCAGAAATTAAAACGAATTTTCCAGGTTGACCAACGAAATTGCAGACATCTTGTTCTGTGAATTCCTTTTTCCTGTGTTTGATTATTTTCGTTTTCTCTTCAATTTTGGTTTTTTCATCTTGTACTTTGATCTCTGTTTGAAATTTTCTCTCTATGTAATAATTCTCAATTGCACCCAAGTCTCTAATGGCTGTACCTATTGTGATATTTTCATAATTTATCAAGTTGATAATAGTTGCCTGGTCTATTATAAAATCAATGTTATTCAATGAATTAATCATGAGCTCTTTGATTGGCAGATCTTTTCCTTGAAAATTAACTTCTTTCGACAAAAGGGCAGTTTGGCATGCTTCTATTAAATCAGTAAATTTTATTTCATCCTGAATTACATCATCCTGTATTGGGACTTCTGACAAAATTATGACTTTCTTGTATTGTTGTCTGTTCAATATATTATTTATACGGGATTGAATTATACGAAATTGATCAGAGTTTCTGAGGGAAATGACAAGTACGCAGTATCCAGGAACCTCAAATGATTGTATTATTTTGTCCAAAATTCCACTTCTATCACTTGGATCGATGAACAGAAGTTGATCTTTTTTGTAAAGTTGGTCGTTTTTGCTGGGGCTATGAACTCTCAGTAAGCTTCTATGGATCTTGAGTATATTTAAGAAATGATAATTTGATACAATATTGATTATTTGATTTCCACCAAAGGCATATAATTCCTTGAAGTCTATTTCAAAAGAATCTAGTTTTTCTAGGTAATACTGACGCCGCGAGTCGAATAAAAAAGCTATAACGTGCGACTTTCTGATACGTCTTTCTTTTTGCAGTTTTCCCTGAAGTAATTCGTCTATTTTCTCTTTAAAATGAAGTTTAGAAAATCTCAAACCAAAAATGTTTTGTGCTTCTTCTAGTTTGTTTTTAATACCGTCTCCTATTGCTGAATCGTCGAAATGAAGAAATCTAAATTCCTCACAAAACTTCAGGGAATGATCATCAAATGCATTCAATATTACTTGAATCTCTTCAATTTTTGAGCTTTTGAATTGATAAGATTTGTACTTTCCTGGTATTATAGTAATCTTTATGGGTTCAAGAAAATCACCATCCGAAGGACCAATATTTGAGCATAATATCATCAATAGCTTCCGTTTGAATGACTTACAGATTTTCATCTTATAGGAGTTGTAATATTCCGGAAGGAGGGTTTTCCAATCGAGGACCGGATCCTTTGATTTTTTCTTTCCTTCTGATTTTAATTTTTTATGTTTGCATTGTATCAAAATATCAATTCCACCATCTCCACTTTCGAAAACAACATCATCAAATTTTCCTGCATTCTCATTCTCTGTTGATAATTCCCATTTTTCATCTTGTAATGAAATGGCCTGTAGAGCGATCAGTCCAAAAACCTTCAGCTGGTAGTCCGTTCCACTGCGTCCTGCGTCGTTATTGGCCATTTTTTCTGTTGTTCTGAAAAAGGTCCAGTATATTAGGTACATACAGTGTGTTACAATTTTTTCCACCCCACCCTTCCTGCAACCCAACCCCTCCCCTGGACTTTCATAATCCTAGAGTGATTTGAAAAATTTTCTTCTTTCAAAATATTCGACATAAAATTATCTACTATTTCGAGCAGAAAAACTTCTTACCCTACTGCAGCAAAATTGAAACAAACAGATTATTAATTTTTTTACAATAATTTTGATAATGGCAATCGATTCGGACTAGTCACAAATACTCCTATATCAATTTTCAGAACAATATATCATAAGGGATGTTTTTTATTAACATCACAATTTTTGAATAATTGGATTCTTCAAGTCACCGTGTATAATTATTTTTATGAGAATCCGAATGCTACCAGGCATGATTGTATTTAGGTAGATCATCTGATTACAGAGTGAGGTAAATAACGAATAAAATCACTAGAAATTCAGATTTTTTATCAATGAATAAAAAGTGAATTTTCGCATCTTATCAATTTTTCACCACTCGCTCTACTAATTTTCGATATTCTATTACTCAGGTTGCAATATATTCGGATTCTAAAATGATTACACAATACCAAAGACAATATTAGCTGTCAAAGTTGTTTGAGAAAAGCGAAGCGTAATTCATTTCCACAGCTTTCACACGATTTCCAATTCCTAGGATTCATCAAAATTGAACAATTACAGAAAACATTTCTTCTTGTCATTATTTTTTTGCGAGTTTTTTGCGCCTTCACAACCCATGATCATAATCACCATAATTTTACTTCAGATCAAGAAATAGAAAATAATTGTGACAAAAAAGAATATTTTGCAGAAAGATAACACCACAAGAACTGAGGAGAGTTGAAAGAGATATGAAAAGTGTATAGAGAATAGAGAATAAAGGATATTTGATCGAGAATAAAGAAATCTGAACTTGTTATTTTTGAATAGATATTTTGTATTCCGTTTTTTCTCTTTCTTCTTGTTCCTCAATGAAAAATCAAAATTTCCATTGATTTATACATTATTTTCCTGAGGAGAATAAAGGATATTTGATCGAGAATAAAGAAATCTGAACTTGTTATTTTTGAATAGATATTTTGTATTCCGTTTTTTCTCTTTCTTCTTGTTCCTCAATGAAAAATCAAAATTTCCATTGATTTATACATTATTTTCCTAACTCTGTAGCCATCAGATGATCTTATCCTTACAGCTAGTATTGTGATTGTGTAATTATTTTCAAATCTTAATGTATTATAACCTCAGTAATAGGATTTCGGAAATCAGTGCAGCAAGTACTGAAAAATTGATGAGATGCAAAAACTAACTTTTTATTTCTTGATAGGAAATCATAATTTCTATTTTTTTCATTCGTAATTTATCTAACTTTGTAGCCAGATGATCTACCTGACTTGAAAAATACAATCATTCAAAAATTGTAACGTTGATAAAAAACCCTTATGGTATATTGTTTTGAAAATGGATGTAGGAGTTTTCGTGACTAGTCCGAAGCGATTGCCAATTTTCTTTAATTCCGCTGTAGTTATTGTGATTGATATTTTATTTGCTCGACGAAGTAGATAATTTTGAGTATATAATAAAAAAAATCAAATCAATCTAGGATTATGAAGGTACAGGGGTTTGGTGGACCAAATTGTAACACACTGTATACTCAGATCATATAACAATTCGTGAAAATCATAAAGTGTGTGGCCTCTGGTGTCGAACTTTCGAACCTTCCCGAAGGTGATCAATAAACCAATCTAGCATTGTCTATAATTTTTCAAGCAGATTTCGATGCCTTTTCGATAGTTTTTGGAATCATCTTGTGCCTATATATAAACTTAGTTATTGTTTAAAAAAAAAACATCTATGAAATGAACAAACTATAGTGAGAGTTGAATCAAGGAAGTAATTTTCAGTTTCTTAGTACTCTTCCTGGAGTACAGATTTCCTTTCATTGAATGAATCACCTTCTGGAGATATAAAATTGTGTGAAAAAGTCCTGCTGAGTTACTGCGATAATTGAAAAACATGGCAGTAGCAACATGCACTTTCCCAATGGGCATGTATACGTCGAAAAAACGTTGAAAAATGGTTTAGTAAGTATTCGTCGCATATCTGTAAAAACGTAGCAGGAAGAAACGTTTTTTTCAATCAATAGTTTTGATAAAAAGGAAAAATACGTATTTCCAATATATTTATCAACAAATTGTTAGGTAATCACGTCGAATTTGTGTTATTTAATCAACGAGTAACGATTTTCAACCCAAAGTTGAATAAACGTTGATTCAATGTACCTGTGCCCATTGGGTTATAGCTGGCAATGTTACAAATGGAAAGCTATGGTAAACCAGGAATCAAACCGTCACATAAAATAAAAACATGTACAGCTTTATTACAAATTTATTAAATTGAGTCACGAGTAATCATATATCTATCTTGGAATTCGGTCAAAAACTAACATGTCAGATCATAAAAAAATCAGAACTACTCTCTTCTGTCAATTTTTATCCAATGAAAAAGTAAAAAAAAAATCATTTCACACGAATCCAGTTGAAAGGTGAGAGTTATCAGCCAGGTCGAAATTGAAAATTCATTCGAACGATTTTGTTCCATATTTTTCTATTGAACCGGTCAAAGTGTGCCGTGTAGATTGAAGAGCAGTTCTTATAGCATTTTGTCTGATCTTTCTGGATCTGATAGATTTTTTCGAGAAAAGTGGCCACAAAGTGAACTTTTTTGACATAACAATGAAACATGAAATTTTTCCAAATCCGGACCTGGATACTTTTTTTCATAATATGTTATCTCGAATAGTTCCAGTAGAGATACGTCGCTGCCAAATTTCAGCAGATTACGATGTATCATTTCTGTAATATCGGCCATCAAAGTTTTGTAACAATTTCACATAATACCCTGTATCTTCGTTATGGAGGGGCAAAAAATGTTTTCAATATATATTCATCAACTCGTCTTGATTTCCCCTTTGGCTACGTGAGTCTTCTCATGAAACACCCTGTATAATTTTCGTCAATCCGTGACTGGATGTCCAAAATTACATCCATCATTTCAGCTATCTCTGTATCCTTTGACCTACGGAATCCATATTGACCACTGTACAATAGATTGTTATTTTCGAGGAAGTCAAAAAGACGATTATTCATGATTTTTTCTATAATTTCAAAAAGAATAGAGAGGACATATATTGGCCTGTAATTATTCATATCGTCTTTCTCACCAGTTTTGTGTATTGGCAATACTTTAGCAATACTCATTTTGTCAGGAATAATACCAGTTTCAAAAGATTTGGAAAAAAATTTCAACAAGATGGTAGTTAATTCAGATTTGATTATTTTTACAATTTTCACAGTTATGCAATCAAATCCACAAGATTTCCGTACATCCAAGTTGTCGACTATATTTTCAATTTCTGGAATATTTGTTGGTGTTAAGAATATAGATGAAACATTTGAACAATCGTTCAATGTTTCAGAAATTGGAGGTATTTTCGAAGATGAATTTGGACCAACATTCAACAGTGATTATTAATTTCATTACTCATCTGATGACTACTTTCAATTTTGATATTATTCAATGTGATATATTCGATATTATCGGTCTGATTCTTTGATTTATTGTATGAGAGTGAATTGATTCCATTCCAAACTGATTTCGGAGTTCTATTGAAAAAAAAGGTTATCATAAAATGTCTTCCCTCTGTCTAATAATTACCTCATATGTTCCATCAAGATTATTGTAATTATTGATATTGACGTTCATTATTTCCAATTCAGTTCGAAATTTTTCTATGTCATAATATGTTCTTATTAATTTGGTCACATATTTCTTATTGTCAAAGATTGGTTCAGGAATGCAAGTTAGGTAAAATTTATGGTCACTTAATGAGTTGTAGATAATGAAAACGTCAAGATTCTTTTTTGAATTTGTTATAAAATGGTCAAGTGGTGATGAGTTTCTTGTTGAAATACTTTCATAACAATTTCTGAAACTACTAGAATTGTGAATAACTATCAAATCTTTAGATTCAGTACTATTCATTAATACATTTATGTTCATATCACCAAAGTAAAAACAATCACATTTGTTTCTATTAATTGTATCGAGTGACTTTTCCAAAAAATTCAAGAAATAACGGATATTTAGAGCTTGTGGTCTATACATGCCACAGAATACTATTTCTGGGGATTTGATTTTAATTACCAAATATGTTAAAGGGGATTCTTCTTTCTGAATGATATCAAAATTGAAATTTTCATGTATGAAAATTCCTATACCACCAAATATCTACGTACCTTATTTTCTAGTTTTGTTGAGCAGGGGTCTTTAATCCAAGGTGATAATCCATGCTGATCATCCTTTTTAACATTTTCATCCAAAATCAGCGATCCGACATATGATGCATGCTAAGGGAAAAAATCCGTTTTAAATAACATGGACAGCTACGATTCCAATTTGAAAAAATGGAACTTCAGGCCAATACTTGAAATTGCACTTTTCATCAATGCTACCAGATTATAACATATTTATATTCATATATTCAGAAAGACAAACTGGCTTGAATGAGAAAGTGTATCGATGAAAATGGCCAACCTATAATTTTCGAAGTTCAATAATTCAAAAATGATTACGAATATCAATATGAATGTTGAGATGAAAGATGTTTCTGTTTCGATTTTACACCAAATGACCCAAAAATATATACAGGGTGTAACTGAATAAGTGTAAAACATTTAAGGAGGTGATTCCTCATCGAAAAAAAGATAGGATCTTTCATATAAAGAAACTTCATTGGAGCATCCCTTGTTATACGACGCTATACATAGTGGAGTATACTACGGCCGTGCCAAAAATGCTATCTCGGAAACTAAGCGAGATAGAGGTATAGTTGCTTTGGAGAAAATGATCCCCATCGAATTTTGAGCAACTTTGGTTTTTGTGT